TCTGGCCACAGTGTCCCCACGTGGCTCCTGATGCAGCTGGGAGATGAGAGTGGCTTCTCTAGACAGGCACACCTGGTGCTGCCCAAATGCCGTGTTTTTTTTTTTTTAAACAACATTTTTTTTTTAATGTTTTATTTATTTCTAGGAGAGAGAGAGGCAGTGTGAGCAGGGGAGGGTCAGAGAGAGAGGGAGTCACAGACTGAAACAGGCTCTAGGCTCTGAGCTGGCAGTCAGCACAGAGCCCGACGCGGGGCTCGAACCCACGAACCACGAGATCATGACCCAAGTGAAAGTCGGATGCTTAACCAACTAAGCCACCCAGGCGCCCCCCAAATGCCGTGTTTTAAACAAGAGAGCCAACATCGGATATTTTGAAGATTTCAACATAAAAATTGTGACCTCTGACTTAAAAACACATGGGAGGTGTGGCAATCCTGGGCTCAAGCTTCGGGGTGATGCTGTCCGGACCCGAGTGGCCTTGGCATCCCCCCTCCCCTGCCGGGGCTGAGCCCTATCCTGCGCCTGCCAGCCAGACTCTCCCCTCCACCTCCCCGTCTCCCCAGATGTTTGACTTTGCAACTGTCACTCACCCCTTGGGGAAGAGATGTCACCCATCCCGGTGAATCCCCAGCAGGCGGGCGAGCAGAAAACCTCAGTCTTCCTTGGCCCTTCCTATCTTTCAAGTTCCATCCTGACCTGTCAGCAAATCCAAGGGGCTCCATCCAAACCCCACCCTCCCTCCGACTACTTCTCCACATGGGGTACCGCTGGCACCCTGGCGGAACCCGGACACCCACCTTCCCGTCCCCCTAGCCCCGCAGCCCTGTCCCCCGTTCTCCATTCCCAGGCAGGGCCATCTTTCAGAATCTGCGTCAGATCACGTCAGCCCTCGATCGAAACCTCGCAGGCCCCTTCTCACCTAGGATCCAAGCAACGTGTCCCACCCCTGCCACCAGCCCTGGAGACCCGCCCTGTCGCTTGCGTGACCCCTTTGCCACCCTGCATAGGCCCCAGGGCCACCTTGTCAGGTGGATGTGGCCTTAGGACCTGAGCTGGGGGCTGTTCAAGGGAGCGAAATGCCACTGCCATCAACAATAAGGATGTGTCACATGATATTGAGCTGAAAGAAGTAAGCAGCAGAAGACCAGGGTCTCCCCGCTGGTGTCACATGTAGCACACGGCTGAGGGGCGCGTGAGCAGCCGCGCACACACACAGGAAGACAAGAGAATGCAGGAAGCAGTTACGGGGGATGGGCACGTGTCCTTGTTCCGAGGACAAGGAAGGGCCCGTTTCTTGTACACAGGGGTTTGTTTGACTATAATTTTTACATCTGATTACAGTTTTCTTGAGGACAATTGACTGCGCATACTGAAGTATAGAATTTAATGGTTTTCAACGTATGTACACACCTAGGAACGTTCTCCATAATCAGGATAAATGAACATGTCCATCACCCCGGAGTCGCTGTCACAACTTTGAAATCCCTCCTTCCCTCCCCTCCCCTTGTCTTGAGCACCCACAGATGGGCTTTCTGGCCCCCAGATCATTTTCTAGTGCTCTATATACATAGATTTTATATGAATCGTAATTCATTGCATAGATAGACTAAAATCTGTCTGCTCGCCCGTTGATTGACGTTTGGGTGGTTTCCAGCTTCTGTAAGTTGCAAATAAGCAACTTAAGCCGCGAGGACCATTCACGTGCACGTCCTCGTATGGGCTCAGTCTTCCATTTCTTCCGGGAGGAAATATTTAGAAGCAGAGCAGTTGGGTGATATGATTGGCGTGTGTGTAACTTTTTAAGACACCGCCACCCTGTTTTCCAAAAGGCCCGTGCCGTTTCACGTTCCCGCAGTCGCCCCACAATCTGAGCAACACCTGGTCTTTTAAATCGTTGCCATTCTCGTGGGTACACGGTGGCACTTGTTGTGGTTCACATTCGACGATGTGACTCCTCTTTGCACGCGCCTGCTTGTCGTCCGTGTAGTCTCTCTGGTGAAGCATCTGTTCAAACCTTTAGCCTGTTTTAAAATTGGAGTCTCTTTTATATTATTAAAAAAAATTTGTTCCAACTTTTACAGAGAGTGTGTGTGTGAGTGGGGGAGGGTCAGAGAGAGAAGGAGACACAGAATCTGAAGCAGGTTCCAGGCTCTGAGCTAGCTGTCAGCACAGAGCCCGATGCGGGGCTCGAACCCATGAACCGTGAGATCATGACCTGAGCCGAAGTCGGACACTTAACCGACTGAGCCACCCAGGCAGCCCTAGAAATGCCAATGATTTTTGTACCACCTATAACCTTGCTAAACTCATTTCTTAGCTCTAATAACAGTTTTGTAGATTTCTTAGGATTTTCTGTAATTTTGTCATCTGCAAATTAAAAAGGTTTGTGCCTTCCTTTCTTATCTATTTATTCCTTGTCTTTTATTTACTTTTTTCTTTCCTTATTGCCCTGACTAGAACCAATATTGGACAGAAGTGGTGAGAGCGGAAATTCTAGCTTCATTCCTGATCTTGACAGGAAGGTGTTCAGTCTTTCACTATCAAGTATGATATTACCTGTAGGTTTTTCATAGAGGTCCTTTATCAGGCTGAAAAAATTCACTAGTTTTCCTAATTTGCTAAATGTTGTTTATCAGGAATGGATGCTGAATTTTGTCAGGTGCACTTCCTGTGTCTATTGAGATGGTCATATTCTTCTATAGTTTGTCAATAATTTAGTTTGTTAATCTTGATTTTTGAATGCTAAAACAACGTTGTATTCCACACCATCACGATGTGTGACGGATTAAACTCCACTCCATCACGATGCGTCGTCCTTCTTGACATAATGTTGGATTTAATTTTCTAAATGTTTGTTAAGAATTTTTGTCTCTTAGGGGTGACTGGATGGCTCAATTGATTAAGCGTCTGACTTTGGCTCAGGTCATGATCTCGGAGTTCATGAATTCAAGCCCTGCGTCAGACTCGGTGCTGACAGCTTGGAGCCTAGAGCCTGCTTCGGATTCTGTCTCCCTCTCTTTATGACCCTCCCCTGCACTCGCTCCCGCTCTCTCTCTGTCTCTCTCTCAAAAATAAATTAACATAAAAAAAAGAATTGTGTCTTTAAAAAAAGAATTTTTGTGTCTATGTTTATAAAAGATATTGGTTTACAGTTTTCTTGTTATATCTTCTGATTTTGGAATCTGGGTAATGCTGGCCTCAAGGAATGAACTGGGAAGTGTTATCTTTTTTTCAAGCTTCTGAGAGATTTTGGGCATAACTAGTATTTTTTTTTTTTTTTTGCTTAGATGTTTGGCAGGATTCACCAGTGAAGCCATCTGGGCCTGGAGTTTCCTCTGTGGGAAGGTTTCAAATCACAACTTCAATTTCTTTAACAGAATAGGGCTAATGATGTTATCTATTTCTTCTTAAGCAAGCTTTGCTCATTTGTAACCTTCAGAAATTTGTGAATTTCATCTAAGTTGTCAAATTTGTTCGTAAAATGTTGCTTGTAATATTCCCTATCATTTTAATGTCTGCAGGATTGGTGATGATGTTTCTTTTCCACTCTTGGTATGTAATGTGTATCCTTCCTTCCTTCCTTCCTTCCTTCCTTCCTTCCTTCCTTCCTTCCTTCCTCCCCCCCTTCCTTCTCTCTCTTTCTTTCTTTCTTTCTTTCTTTCTTTCTTTCTTCCTGATCAGTATGCCCAGAGATTTATAAATTTTATTGAGTTCCCAAAGAACCAGCCTCATGTTTCATTAATTTTCTTTACCATTTTCTATCTCTCCAATTTCTATTTATTATTTCCTTTCCTTCACCTACTTTAGTTTTAATTACCTCTTCTTTTTCTAATTTCTTAAGGTGGAAGCTGAGGTATCTGCGGCTTTCTTCCTCTCTAATGTAATCATTTAATGACACAAATTCCCCTTGAATCACTTGTCTGGCTTCATCCTGCAAATTTTGATATGTCATCTTTTAAAATTCTCATTCAATTCAAAATATTTTCTAATTTCCTTTGTGATTTCTTCTTTAGCCCAGGTGTTATTTAGAAGTGTGTTTGAAGGAGTTTTCTAGTATCACTCTGTTACTGATTTCTAATTGATCTCCACGAGGATCCAAGAACATACCTCCTATGTGTTGAACGTTTAAAAATTTATTACATGTGAAGCAAGACTAGGGACCTGTAGTAGCCTGTTGGCGGGGGAAGTGTGATTTTCATCATGAGCCACCAGAGGGTTTTAAGCAGACGGGGCAGTGGGGGGAGGGAGGTATGATTTGAATGGTGTTTGATTAGCCTGGTGTGCATTGGATGTGACACAGGGGGAGGGGGATGCCTGGGGCTCGAGGTTTCCCTGGGGCTTGAGACCATTTAGGAGTGGGCAGTTGTCTGGAGGGTCTGGATCTCCAGGGAAGGGTATGGGAGTAACTTTGTGACAGGGCTGCCCTCCAGTGTCAGGCTTGGAGGGCTGGGGGTGAGGGTGAGGAGCCCGGTGTGCTGGAAAGAGCCCTGGATTGGGAGCTGGGCCAGGGATCAGCTGTGTGACTCCAAGCATGTCACTCCACCTCTCTGAGCTTCAGTTTCCTCACCTCTAAAATAAGTGGTGAGCCTCCACGATCCCACAGTTTAGTGGCACGGGCTACTGCCAGCACAGGGAGGGTCTTTGCGTGAATTAGGCAACGGTGACCCAGTGAGATAGACAGCCAGCCAAAGGGGGCTCCTTGTGGGGTAAGGCCTCAAGTTGAAGCCTGATATTATAGGCTACTTTGACACGTAGGGTAACCAGGAGGATCTCCAATGGCTGAAATGCAAGTCCCGTCCCACCTGCTCTTGCGGATCGGGTCCTGTAGCAAATAACATTTTTTTTTTAATGTTTTATTTATTTCTGAGAGAGAGAGAGAGAGAGAGAGAGACAGCATGAGCAGGGGAGGGTCAGAGAGAGAGGGAGACACAGAATCAGAAGCAGGCTCCAGGCTCCGAGCTAGCTGTCAGCACCGAGCCCAATGCGGGGCTCGAACCCACGAACCGTGAGATCGTAACCTGAGCCGAAGTCGGACGCTTAACCGACCGAGCCCCCCAGGCGCCCCGCAAATAACATTTTTCATCAAGCATCCAGGAGCCCTTTCTATTATGTCTATTACTGTTATTTCTATTCAGAGCCCTGTCACGGGTGGGATTCCTCAGACAAGCCGATCACATCCTCCCTTGGGAACCAGGGCTCACTCTGCCTTCTCGATGCTACAAAGCCTGCCTCCCACAGCCCCTGGTGGTCCACGTTGTTCCTGCCGCAGCCCCCCGTGCCCTGCACGGTGCGTGGCACGGCCACCCCACCCTGGGCCATGAGCACCTGTAAGTAACAAATGCTGCTGGTCTGAGGCACCTAGCGTCAGGCCATCCCCGTAATGGGTGGGAAGTAAGAGGGAATGAAAACTACTCCTTTCTGCCCAGTGTAGCCTGGGCTGGATTTCAGCCCCCACGTGCCTCCTTCAGCTGGTGTCTTGGGCAGCGCACAACGTGAACACCTGTACCCGGCAGCCCTGTTAGCAGGTTCTATTTGTTGGACTCTCGACTGTGCTAAGATCTGCTAACCCTGTCACTACCCCCACCCCCTACCCCACCCTGTGGAGGTAGGTTCCATGATCATTTCCATTTTACAGATGAGGACTCTGCGAAGAGTGGAGGAGGGAGATTGGAGCCTAGGTCTGTTTGGACATGCCCCTTTCTGTTCTGTGGTCCACTCTGGTAGCCAGGAGGTGAGAACACTGCGGTGCACGGGTCAGTGAAGCGAGTCAGGAGAGTCAGGAGCTCTGAGTGAAGGTGTGGAGACGGGAGCCTGGTGGGAAGGAGAAAGGACTCGTCGTGTTAGTGGGTGTGGACGCGATCAGCCAGTGGGCTCAGCTCTGCAGGGCTGAGGTGAGGGGAGAAGAGAAGGGAGGGGGAGAGCAGCCCTCAGCCACAGCCACCCAGCCCCGGCCCCACCAAACTCTTGAGATTCTTCTGATTTCTTCCACCCTCAGCTGGCGAGGAGGCAGTGCCCTCCGTGGGGATTTTTGGCCAAAGGGGTTCCACACAGGCAGAATTTCTAGAACGAGGTACTCTCTGTAATGACCACTTGTCTCTGGTTGCCCTTGGCTGCTGCCGATTTCCTAGGATAATCAAAAGACAGAGCAGTGGTGTCTGGTGACATGGCTGAGGGGCTTGGAGGGCAGAGCTGGGGGTCAAGTCTCACGAGAACGTAAGCTCTATGAGATTACGGTTTATTTTCTGCCATGTGTTCAAAGCATAAGTCAGTGCCTGAAACATAGTAGGTCCCCCCAAAAGTGAAAGAGTAAGTTAAGTCCGGCTTCCCTGCTCCTTGGCTGAGCGTCCTTGGGCAAGTTACATGACCCGTCTGTGCCTTATTTGCTTGGCAGTGAAACTGACCATAACAGCACCGTGCGGGGCTGTTGTCTGGATGAAATGAGATGCTATAATAAAACAGTAAGGGTCCCCGAAGCACCAGCTGTTCTTATTACTATTATTAGCATGACCTCGGTTCGTGCTCAGCCTGTGACCACCCTCCCCCAGGACACGGCAGCCACACTCCCGGGGCTGGCGCTGAGGGCCAGGCACTCTCCTCGGGGCTTTAATATCGTAACTTCAACCTGAAAACCGCTCTTTGAGCTTGGCTGGGTTTCTGTTTGGTTTCGTTAACGCCCATTTGACAAATGAGGAACGAGAAGCTTAGTGGTGATTCTAGCCATAAAATAAACTCCAGGAACGTTCCCTCACCTCTGTGCTCTCACAGGACAAGACCCGAGAGTCGCACGATCTGTTGGAGTTTGGTGTGAGAGGCGAGCGAGTGCCTGGGTGGCAGGGATTCAGCCCCAGGCAGCCCGCTGGGTGCAGTCAGGTTCATAACCATTACGTTTTCCCGCCAAAGGGACCGTCGCGTTCTACCTGTGAGACCTTGGATCAGCCCCTTCTTCTCTCTGAGCCTTCGGTAAACGGGGGTGGAAGTAGTCTCTTCCTGGCGGTGCGGTTTCAGACGCAAGCCCGATGGCCCCCCGGGTCGCTGCCCCGTGGCACTGGGCGCGCTGTCAGCACTCAGCCACGTGGGCGCTATCTCGCCGACCAGCTCAGCCCAGCTCCTGCCCTCCTGGTTCCCCACGATCTCCCTGCCCCCTTGGGCTGTCCTGTCCCGGGGCTGAGGGGAGCCTGTCCCCACAGCTGCAGCCCTGCCCAGCGACATCCTGGAAGCCCAGCCCCACTCCCAGGGTGGCGCGGGGGGTCACTCACTGATTCTCCAGGTCCTGCATGGTGTCGGGAAGTGGGAATCCCCGGGTCTCCGGGAGGAAGAACAGAATGAGGCTGGAGGCGATGGGAAGAACTCCGTAGACAACGGGGGCGAGCAGGGGCTGAGTCATCCTGATCAGGGGGCCTATCACAGACCCCAGGCGACCCCCCGCCTGCACGAAGCTGTCTGCTGTCATCCTGTGGGTGAGAGGGCCCAGACCCTTGCTGCCGCTGCCCTTTTCGTGAAGGGGGCTTTACGGGGTGGGGCGGGGGGGGGTGGCATTGGCTGGGCCAGGGGTGCCAGGCGAGGGAAAGCTGGGGTAAGGGAGCCACACTCCTCGAGGTCTCTCCTAACACTACCTCCTCCATGGAGCCCACAGAGATTTTCCCATCCACTGGGGGCCTCTGCTTCCTGAGAACACCCAGGGTCCTGTCCTTCATGGATGCTCTAGGGCCCACACCATTTCTCCTGGCCTTAGGTATGCGGGGGGCTTGCCTAGGGGGCTCCGGGGCACTGAGCTCTCGACTCAGGCTTTCTATATGGTATCAACCAAATCAGTACATGAGTGTCCGAAACATGAATCGAAGAATGGACAAGTGCGTAAGCTGAGGGAGTGAGCACCACGATGAGTGAAAGAGCCCTGGCCTAGGACTCCAGGATACTGGGTCCAGTCTCACCCTTCCACGAGTAGGGCCTTGAGCCTCAGTTTACCCAACCATCCGAGGTGGACATGCTTTCACTCTAAGCCACTGGGGTTTTCCCATCTGTGTCCCGTGGAGCCCTGGGGCTGTTCCAAGGTGACTTGGGGCTCTCTTGGGGCCGGGAGGGGACAGTGGGAAGCAAGTGGGGGAGGGGCACGTCTCACTAGGGCAGCTCTTGGTCTCCTCGCTGAGGGTTCTTAAAAGACTTCACCCGAACAGAGGGTTCTGGGGTTCAAAATGGTTTCTGATCGCAGGCCTGGAGGCCCAGTGAGGGCTCCATGGCACCGTCGCCTTCCGAGTGGCGGCCCTGGGGGAATGCTTCTCAAAGGATGAGCCTTTGGGGGAAGAAAGAAAGCTGGGGCCAGGGGCCTCCTCTCCCCCTGCTGTGTGTGCCCGGGTGCCCAGCCCCCTCTTTGCCCTCCCGGCTGGCCTTCCCAGGGACGTCCCTGCCTTGCGCACCCTGGGCCTGGCCCCCACCCTTGCCCCCTTCAGGCCCAGCCTACCGCAGTGCGGTTGGGTAGAGTTCCGACTTGTAGATAGAAACACAGGTGAAGATTATGCCAAAACATCCCCTTCCCAGCACAGCAAAGACCACACGCAGGGTCTGCAAATCTGGGCAGAGGAAGAGGGCGTCAGTGGGGTCTGCCTGAGGGGGTCCCTGGTCAGCCTGCTGTGGAGGCGCTGGGTCCTCCCGCAAGGCTTCCTTGACTGCACCCAGGGGCCCTGTGGTGTTGACTTGGTGCCCACGGGGACTGTGGGCAAGATGACATCACGGTAGGTGGGTAGGTGGGGTGGGGTGGGAGGGGCGCACGGGGCCAGAGCCCAGCCAGGCCTGGGGCAGCTCAGGATGGCTCTCAGCCCGCCTGTGGGAGCTCTGGCTTTCACGGGGCGCCCTAGCCAGGAAGCTGAGACTCGCGCCACCCTTGGTCCGTGGGCCGGGCCTGTTTTCCCTCCCACATTGTCATGAAGGGTCTCATAAGCTGTCACACACCCGCTGGGCACTGCCTCTTGCTGCGCGTTTGGGCTCATGGCAGACCCTCAACGCCAACTCAGCCCCTCCTGGCCGCTGGCCGCCCCTCTGCCTCCCTCCTGGCTTTGCTGCCTTGCCTGTCCCCATCCCACCACCAGCCTCTCTGCCTTGAGCCATAAAAGGGGACCTGAGAGGGTTTTTCAGGGCGTCACTTAGCAAGAGAAGAGAAAGACAAGGGCCCTCCAGCAGTGGGCACACAAATGCCTCTTGAACGAGAAGCACCAGGGAAGCACCAGGGGCTGCCAGGCTCGGTGTTCCCACCTCCCTGCAAGCCACCTAGAGCCTCTCACAGCCTCCCCCTCCTCCCACCTCCTTCCCAGCCTCTGGCCTCAAGTCTGGTCTGAGCCCTGGCCCGGTCACTTGCTAGCTGAGTGACCTTCGGCTCTTGGCTTCAACCTCTCAAAACCTCAGTTGCCTCGGGAGAATGGGTGGGGGGCCGATGGGGGGGGCGGATGCCCGAGGTGATATGGGAGATGTAGGCTTGGACACAGCCTGCTGGGGGGGGGGGGAAAGACACAGGAGGTGGGCCCAGTGGGCAAGGGCGGGGAAGCCAGTGGCCAGAGCCTTCGGGGCCGCGCCTCCACGCTGCCCCCGCCTCACCTCGCGGGAGCAGCGTGTTGGCCAGGATGGAGACGCCGGCCGTGGCATGGAAGCTGACCAAGATTATGCGGCGGCCCAAGAAGCTGAGCAAGAGGGGGGTAGTGACCCGGGCCAGTATGTCTATGACTCCGAAGAAGGCCTGGAGGAGGAAGATGTCGCTCCCCAGGTTCTGCAGGTCAAGGACCAGCCCGTAGTAGGACATCACAAGGCAGAAGCTGCAGGAAAAAGTCAGAAGTGGGACCCTTGCCCCACAGAGGAAACGGCACCCTTACACCTGGGACACCTGGGCTGTCCCCAGAGGGCACGGCTAGCCCTGGGCGTGTCCCTAGCGGACCTCAAAAAGCCTGTCAAATGCAGGGCAAGTCTCTCTAGAGCCAGCCTGTCCCCGGAGGGGGAGAAAGGGCAGGCCTCATTCTTCCGCCTCCTTAGGTTGTGGCCACAGTGGGCCAGGCCTCACTGCTCAGGCTCCCAGGCCACCAGCCCGTGGGAAAGCCAACCCCTCCGGGCTGACTTGGCTTGGGGGTGGGGGATCAGGCTGAGCCTCGGTTCTGGCTCTAGCCCTCTCTGGCTTAGTGTCCCCGGCACAGCCCGGAACCATGACCTGGCCCTTTCTGGCCCTTTCTGGCCCTTTCCGGCCCTTTCTGGATGCCAGTTTCTTCATCTCTGAAAGATGGGAGTAAGGATGGAAAGAGCTGGGCTGGGCTGCCCCTCCTTCAGGATGGAGAGTGTTACTTCCCCGGCCTCTGGGCGTGTTGCCTCTCAGGTGTGGAGAGCACCCCATGACAGCGGCCAGAGGGGCCACCCCAGCTCCCGAGTCCTCCCGGGGTTGGCCAGGACCTTTCTGCGACTCTACCTGTGACTGCTCCCTTGCCCCATTCACTTTCTTTCCCCCTCCCGTCCCCTCCCCCTTCAGCTCACCCCCTTCCCCTTCCTTTCTCACCTCCACCTCTCCCCCACCCCTCTCCCTGCCTTCCCCTCCTCTCCCACTCCCCCCTTCCCTCTCACCCCACCCCTCTCCCTCCTCTCCCTTCCCACCCTCTCACCCCTTCCCCTCCCCTCCCCTTCTCTTCTCCCCTCCCTTCCTCTCCCACCCTTACACCCCGCCCCTTCCCCCCACCCTTCCCCCTCCTTTCCATCCCTCCTCTGCCCTCCCTTCTTCCCCTCTCCTCCCCTCCCCCCCCTCCTCTCCCCTCTCCTCTCCCCTCTCCTCCTCTCTCTTCTCCCCTTCCCTCCTCCTCCCCCTCCCCCTCCCCTGTCCCCTCCCCTAGGAGATCTACAGATCTACCGGAAGCGATCCCAATCCCAAGATCTCTCTCTCCAAAGAGCTTCTTGCTCGCTGCCCTCCATCCCAGGTCTGCCGGGTGGGGGTGGACCCGGGCGGAGGCCCTGCCGCGGGCTCCTCAGTAGCTGAACTTACAACAGCTGGATCTCCGCAGTTTGGATATTGAATTTGGATCCACCGGTGGCCACAATATGGAATTGTTCTACACCGCTTTTCAAACCTGTCCCCATCACTGCCTCAGGGACTCAGGGACACTCATCCCAGCACCGCCCCCCCCCCCCCATCACCCAGCTGCAGACAAAAGCTGTGGGGGAACTGCTACACGGGGGGAGGGGCTCAGCTCTGGCTCAAAGTATCCGCCCCTGGGGATCTGGAGCCTGAGGGTAACAGTGGAGGCTGAGAAACCCACCAGGTTAGCTGCTTCCCAGCCTGAGATTTGAATAACAAAGCAAGCCAAGCCAGCCCTTGGGAGAACCTAGAAAGCCTTGCAGGTTTTGAAAGAATGGCCCTGGACCTTCCCAGCACCACCTGGCCATGCTTCTAATTTGTTAGAAAAAAAAAAAACAAACTTAAGCCAGAAAAAAAAATCCATTCTCTGTTCTAAGATGTAGCAAATATTTGCCAGGAAAGCCCATACGTGCTTAAAAAGAGCATAAAATAAATGTTTTCCTAACCTTTAGGGTTTTTAAAAATGTTTATTTATGTTTAAGAGAGATGGAGAGATAGAGCATAAACGGAGGAGGGGTAGAGACACAGAATCCAAAGCAGGCTCCAGGCTCTGAGCAGCCTAGAGCCGGACATGGGGCTTGAACTCACGAACTGGGAGATCATGACCTGATCCGAAGCCGGATGCTCAACCGACTGAGTCACCCAGGCGCCCCCCTAATCTTTAGTTTTATTTCAAGATCAAGTCTCCATCCAACCTGACCCTCACTTCTTAGTATGCTCTCTGCAAGTCACTTGATCTGAATCTGTCTTATTCAGGGGGCCTCCTCCTGGTCCCAGGCACCCTTGGGCACCCAGACAGGGCCTCCTGGGGACTCCATGCTCAGTGGGGGGCCTGGCAGGTGACAGGGGGCAAAGCGGTAGCTCAGCCAAGGTTCCCATGCTTGCTCTGCCATCTTGGGCAAGTTTCCTGCCTCCTCGGGGCCCTGCTTTCCCATCTGTAAAGTGGGGGTATAAATGAACTTGAAGTAGTGGGCGGCCAGCAGCTGGTCAGCCCTTTAGGAGCGTGGGCCTCGCCAGTCACTGCTGGTCCTCCAGCTCTGGGGACATAGGTTCTGCCTCTAGCCTGGGCTCCAGCCTTCCCTGGCCCTGCCCTACAGCTGGCTTCCCACATGAGCCCCCAGACCCTCTCCCCATGGCCTGCCCTCTGGGGGAGCTGGCTGTCCTCGTGATGTCTGCAGGGGCCGTTTCTCCCCGGACACTGTAGAGGCCACTTTCAGGCAACGAACTTGAGCAACGGAAACCTGAGTAAGATAGAAGGGCCCACGGACAGCCAGACCCAGACCACCAGGTGGAATGTAAACAGGCCCATTAGAGGACCCACCTCAAAACACCCGTCAGCCCCAGCTGATCAATCAGCTATTTACTATCAGGCACAGGGAGCAAAGAAGGAAAATTCCTACAGTCCCCTACCTCCACACCATCCCCCTGCTAACTACAGCCCTTCACTCCTGCCTCCCTGGCTGCTACCTTGCGATGCATTCAATAAACTTCTCTCTCTTTTGTTCTGCTTTGGGTGAGTTGTTTCACAGGGCCCTCCACCTCCCCTGGGCTGCACAGACACTGCCCCTCCCTCCTCAGCCCTGCATCTGGGAGGGACGAGCAGGGCGGCATACCACGTCACGAACATGATGCAGCTCCTCCTGCAGAGCATGGGCACGAGGAACAGTTCCAGCAGCGACCCGCGGGCCTTCTCAGAGGCCACCTCCTCCTTCATGCTGGTCATCAGCACCTACGCACGGGGAGAACGAGGCGCAGTGGGTGCCCAGTGTTGGCCCCGCCCCCATGCCAGGGCACCGGGTCCAGGAGGGCAGAGTGATAAGAGGAGCCTTGCCTCGGCTTCTGGAGAGCCCTGGGGTGGGGGCAGCGATCGAGGCAGAGGGGTCTCTCTCTGGCCCCCTAGCCGAGCTCTCCTCTGCAGACCTGGCCTGGCCCATCTACTCCGAGCCAAGGAGCCGGTCTTGCATCCCAGCTCTGGCCCTCTGAGCTGTGGGCTGCAGGCTGTTCCTGGTAGTTGCTACACGAAGCCCACCACCACTCCTTGTTCCTCAGGGCTGGCGTTCGGGCACGCCTACACGCTGGCTCCCCACGGCACCCAAGTGCCCATCCAGACCCTTCCTACCCCTCCGGGCCCTGCCTGCCCTATGCTCAGCTCTGCCTTGGTCAGCTCACCTCCTCCTGGAAGCCTTCCCTGATCCTCGCTCCCCCCCTCTCCCCCACCGGCCCCAAACGCCCTGAGAAGCCCTGTGTGGCGAGTATGCCACGGATGTGGATTAAAGTGGCGGACAAGCGAGTGAGGTTGCCAGGGACATTGCTGTCCTTGGTGGTGGTGGCGGTGATGGTGATGGCGGAGCAGGTGGTGACAGCAGGAATGATGTGGCAGTGACAGAGATGGGGAAGGCGACAGTAACAGCGGCGAGGAGGGTGTTGGCATTTTGCGGAGCTGCCGAGGCCGCTGAAACTGTAGGGTTGACAGAGGCAGTGGGGGCGTGGCTAGCGGTGATGCTGGGTTGGGTCTAAGACATCAGTGGCTGGCCTCTCCCTGTCACGTGCCACACTCTGGGTCACTCACGAACAAGAGCAACTCACCTGTATGGTTAGTGACTTCGTGGCTTCCTTGTGGCCATTTATCCTGGCCACCTTGTGGAGTTCCTGGAGCCCTTGCTCTGGCTTGCCCGTGACAATCAGCCATCGGGCGGACTCTGGAAGCCACCTGTTTAAGAAGCAGGAGCTTGGCTGGGCCTCTGCCTTCTTCCTGCATACTGGGATCTCCTTGCCAGGCCCGGAGTGGGGGTGGGGGACACATGGGCAGTGGTCCCCCCTCTGCACTGCTGGTGTCAGGCTGGGAGACCAGCAGTGCCCTCCCGGTTCCAACTAAAGTTGGGTCCCAATGCCCAGCCGCCCTCTCTCCCCTGTGCTGCCCCAGAAGCCTGCCCGCCGGAGCCTTGAGTCCGGCCAGCATGTAGGCTGCCTGGGCATAGGGCGATTCTGAGTCCATTCATGCGACAGAAAGCTCACATCATGCCGAATTAAAACACACACACGTACACACACACACACACACACACACACACACACTCATCCTCAGCCAGAGCGCAGTGATTTTCTCAAAGTAGCCTGCTTCTTCCCAGCCTCAGGGCAGATGGCTGGGAGAAGCATCTCCTGGATGAAAAGGACTGGAGTTTTCCCAGCCCAGAGGGGCTCAATCCTGTTTGCAGGGAAGCTAAGCATTTCTGCAGGCACTTTGACATCACTGTGAAAAGATCCAGCCTGCCAGGGTTCAAATCTGGCTGGCCTCTGGGACTGACTGGGCTGCTCAGCCTCGGGAGAGTCACTGAACCTCTCTGGGCCTCAGCCCCTCATCTGAAAATGGTGGGCATTGTATCATGGTCCTCGTTAGAAGTTAACACACGCCTGGGGTTACCAACGGGCACCTGGGACGCACCCAGCCGGTGCCACTACAATGGCCTAAGAAGTGTAATTATGGGGTGTCTTGCTCCTTGTTTCCTGATCCTGTCGCTAAAACTCCACGTGGTCAGTGGCATTTGGTCTGTTTGATTTGCAGATGTGTCCCCATCCCCTAAAGCCTGTGGCTGGCACGGGGCGGTAAATGCCGGAGAATGAATGAATGAGTCCTTATTACTGTCTATAGTCTCTCACCATAGACTTGTCCGGAGCCCAGGTCTACCCAGCTCCCGTTCGCAGATAAGAGAGAACTCAAGGCATCATGAACTTGTATCTGCTGCCCCATGTCTCTTCCTTCAGCCCTCACCCAAACAACTGTTTCCAGACCTCAGGGAGTTTCACAGCACCCCAAATCATAGTGCTAGTGATCTCTTTTCGTATCCAATGCCAGTTCTCGCTGACTCAGGTGCCCATGGGCCGGCAAGTGCTGTGAAGGAATGGGCTGATGGGTGCGGGGCCAGCGGGTACCAAGGAGGGGGAGGGGCAGGGGCCAGATGGCAGCCTCAGACCTCCGGCTGAAACGCCCACCCGGAACTCCGAACTCCCAAAAAGTCTCTTCTCAGCAAGGGCTCTGCCCACATTGTTGCCCTTCGCAGCTCTCAGCATCTTGGGATCCTGGGCAAGCTGGGGTGGCGGGGGTTGCGGGGGGAGGGGAGGGGCACCTTGGAACTCCGAGTCTCCCGCCTATAGTTAGTGATGCTCTCCCCAAGGGAAAAGGCCCCACGCTGTACTGACCAGGATATCAGGAAGATGGCAAAGAAGGGCATCGATATGGCCATCTGGAGGTTTCGCCAGTCCTGCACAGCGAAGGCCAGGGCCCCCAGGCCCATCTGGCCCAGGCTATAGGAGCAGCTCAGGATTGCTATGGTGGTGGCCCTTCTGCGGGTCGTGGTCCACTCCACCACTGAAAGGTGTTGCACAGTAAGGGCTGCGCAGTGGCCTCGCCCACCCCCATCGCCACCCCACCCCACCCCGCACAGTGGGAGCGGGTCAAGGCGGGGACTCATGAAGCATCATCGAGGTCAGGATGATGCCAGCTATTCCAGAAGCGCCCAGAAAACGGAGGCCACAGTAGATGAAGAAATTAGAAGCAAAGATGGTGCTGGTGTTGGTCAAAGCCACCTGCAGACAGCTCCAGCTCAGGATCCACTTCCGCCCAAACCTGCATCGGGAGACAAGCACAGTGGGGGCCTGGCGGGGGTCCCTGGGGGCTCAGGCATAGAGGCAGGTGCTTCAAAGGAACGGAGGGTTCAAGAAGGAGAGGGCACCTGCTGGGGCATCTCTGCCTCCCTCCCAGATCTTCCAGGAGCTTGTTACAAAAATGCCAGATGCCTTGGGGCCCCTGGGTGGCTCAGTCGGTTAAGTGTTCTACTTCAGCTCAGGTCACCATCTCGCAGTTTGTGAGTTCAAGCCCTGCGTTGGGCTCTGTGCTGACCGCTCAGAGCCTGGAGCCTGCTTCATATTCTGTGTCTCCCTCTCTCTCTGCCCCTCCCCTGCTCATGTTCTGTCTGTCTCTCTCTCTCTAAAATAAATGGATATTTAAAAAAAAATTTTTTTATGGGCTTTGGCCTCAGAAGCCAGGGTCTGAGTCCAGCTCTGCCCCTTCTTGGGTGACCTTGGGCACAAGACTCAATGTCTTGGAGCTGCAGTCTGCCCATCTGTAGAATGGGGGTATGTGTGATGACAGCGGTACAGAGCTCTGAAAAGTCAAGATGCCGGGCACAGGGGCGGGGCAGCCAGGAGCCTGAGCACACGTGGCCTCGGGCACAGCTCCTGGCCAGTCTGTGCGAGGGAATCAGAGCTCCCCACACCTACTGCCCTGAGGCCTGCTTAGCCCCAACCACTGCCTTCCTTTAGCTAAAGCGTGTGTCAGTCCGACAGGACAGATGCCTATGTGAGCAGTGCCCGGAAACCGGCACGTCCGGCCCAGACCCAGGGCGAGGTCTGGATGCCCACCTGGCCCTGGCCCCAGGCTCACAGGGTCACCTGCCAACCGACTGCAATTTGGCTCCCTGTCAAATCCCCTGGACGGCCCCCGGGGAATGGGCCGTAGCCGCACAGCAGCCCGTCCCCTGAAAGTGCCATTTGGACCACGTCCTCTCGCGCTGTGCCACACGACACCCACAAATAACGGTGGCAGAACCACAGCACGAAGAGCCGACCCCGTCCCAGGTCTGAGCTCCGCGTGTGAGTAGCTCGCTTTATTATCACGACAACCCCATGCACAGGGCCGGGTGCCCACGTACAGGGGGAAACTGAGGCACGGAGAAGCAACAAACCCTCCTTCTAGGAACCTAGGGAACGAAAGGTGGGAACTGGAACCCAGTGATCAGTCTCCTGAGCCTGCGTGGTCACAGGAAAGTCCGGTGGCCACGCCGCATGCTGGATGCTGGATGCTGGGGACCCAGCAAGGACAAGGAAACCCCTGCCCTCTCGGAGCCACTCTGGTGGGGACGCAAACAACAAACAAACGAGCAGCAGATGCCGGTAGAGAAGGTGCGGTGGCAGAGAAGGGAAGGCACGGCCAGGGGACCCACGGGGCCCGAGGTCAGAGAGGCAGCCTGAGGTTGAGGCTTGCATGCTGGGCATGAAGAAGCAACTGTGGGGAGAACCTTCCGGGCAAGGCCCGACCACGTCGGAGCTCTGCAGCCAGAGTGCCGTGGCTGCTCCGGAGGGGCCGGCATGGGGGTGGGGGTGAAGCTGAGTGCCAATCAGGGGTGGGTGGGGCTGGGGAGGGGGCTTTAGGAACTGACCTTGGTGCAGTGGCCCTGGAGGGCTTCAGGCTGGCATCAACCAGATCCACATATAGATTTTTTGCAAAGACACTCTGAGCGAAGGCGAGAGACCCTTGAGGAGGCAGGGGACTGTCCCCAGCAAAAGAGGCAGGTGGCCTGGGCCAGGGGACTGCATGGAGGAGAGAGGGGCATGGGGCTGGCGGGGGGTGGGGTGGGGGAGAGTGTGTGGACATGCAGCTGAGGGAAGGAGAACAGGGCTGGCTCCCAGGGTCGGGTGTGAGCCCTGGGCTGGAGTCTGGGGTGGAGGGGCTGGGCTGGGCTCAGGGGTTGGCCGCCCAGCTCTGACCTTGACAAAGGTGAGCCTCCCTCTCATAGAAACTCGGGGCAGGCAGTTGGGTTTCCAAGCCGAGTGGGGGCAATGCGGGCATTACAGGCACTAGAGCAGCGTCTCAGGTAGCGGTGTGTGTGACTGGACAAGAGAGGTGCAGGGCTAGGTCCTCGGGGTGCCATCTTGGATGGAGGGGTACCGGGGAGAGGGGTGAAGGACAGGAGGAAGGGAAGAAGGATCGCTGTTTCACAACATGCCATGCACTTGGAGTGAGAAGAAAGAAGGGTCTATTTCTCCTGAGAAGACTGCAGGCTCCCTGGGGGCAGTTTCTGTACAGCGCCTGGCACACAGTAGGTGCTCAAGAAAGTTGGCGTAACTGCCAGGGGAGAGAGTGCAGTGTTCAAGGGGATCTCTCACAGTGTGGCTTCGTCTGGCTGTCGCTGCCTTCTGGGGACCTGGGGCTCACAGCTAGACCCCAGACCAGACCAAGGGAGCCCCGTCTCTTCAGGAACACAGACGTCTGTGAGCCATTTTTGGACTTCTGTCCCCACAGCACTCATTCTGTTGAGAAGGAGCCAGGAAGAGGGACGATACTCACCGGTCGGCGAGGATGCCCCAGAAGACAGAGCCAATCAGTAATCCGGCCATATAGATGGTTTGGCCCATGGATTTCAGGCCCTTGCGGTCGCATACTAGGTCCCACTGGAAAAGAAAGAGGGACAGCAGCTTGGCTCAGGGGACGTGGAATTGCAAGGACTGGGTGGCAGAGGGAGGTCCAGGTTGGGTGCTCCCAGCCAGGAGCACCTGGGCAGCCTGGGTTTTGGGGGTCCCCAGATTGCTAGGGCCAGGTGACGGGTAGAAGGGATGTGCTGGGTCCTGTACTCCCAGCCAGCTGTGTGACACACGTGTGACACGGCCACCCCACATGGATGGTGGGGAGGGGGGTGGTGGTGGGCTGTGGCTGAACCACAGACTGGGGTATTAAGTCCACTGATCACTGGCTGGGTGAGCCGGGCGGGGGTGCTCCCTGCACCTGCCCGGGCCATTTTCTCACCCAAAAGCGGGGCCATGAAGGTACTTCTGTCAGGGCCACCAGCATGAGCAGAGAGAGCTGAGTGCTTGTCACCATAATTTCTGAGTGCCTCCTGCCCGGGGCCTGGACGTCCCCCACAAGGCAGCCCCCCACCAGGCCTGCTGGCTTCCTTCACGCCTCTCCTGTGCCGCCTCTCTCGCCAGGGGACCGTGGTAGGAGCCCCTGCCCGCATGGGGCAAAGTCTGGAAAACTCGAAGCAGATCACCTCACTCCCCTGCCCCAAAGCCTCCAGTGACTTTCCTTGCGCTCACTCACCTCCCCCGCACCATGGCCGGGCCCCTGACCCTTTCTGCCCAGACCCACCAGGCGCCTCCCGCTCCTCTGACACCCCAGACCTGTTCCTACTCAGACCTCTGGCCCAGCTGCGCTCTCTCCCTACCTTCACGTCACTGATTCCTTGTCTCCTAACCCAGGTCTCATTTCTGGAGAGAACTTCTCCACCTGCCTCTCCCTCCCTGCTCACATGACCTGCTTTTCTCCTTTGCAGAGGCATGACAGAACATGCTGGAGACCCGGCTTCCAGCTCCTGACTGCCTGCGTTGATTCAGATTCCAGTGCAGTCGAGCTGTGTGTCCCGGGCAGGTCACTTAACCTCACTGTGCTTCTGTTGTGTTACTTATTAGATGCAGATGATAAGAAAAGACCCCTCAAGAGAGTGCAGTCAGGCTAAGGGGAAGGTCTGGGAGGTGCCTGTCACTTAAAGGAGCTTGATCCGATCTCATGTCAGCACAGGTTTAAATGTTGACCGATTCGGGGCGCCCCGGGGGACTCCGTCAGTGAGGCGTCCGACTCTTGGTTTCGGCTCTGGTCATGATCTCACGTCCATGAGTTCCAGCCCCACACTGGGCTCTGTGCTGTTGGGATTTTCTCTTTCCCTCTCTTTCTGCCCCTCCCCCCGGCTCACTCTGTGTCTGTCTCTCTCAAACAAATAAATGAACTTAAAAAAAAAATAGTGTTGACCGATTCTGAATGTGCCAGAGGAACGGAAGCTCCTCAAAGCCTCCCTGTTTACCCAGATCAGGGTCTGGCCCGTCATAAGCAGTGAGTCAGTATGTGTTGAGGGAGTAGCATCTAATTTAACAGTACGATCCTTCCAGGCACTGGGGAGTCCAGGTCGGCGGCGGGAGGCCCATACCTCTGACACGACGGTGGAGGTGAAGGTGCTGCGGTCGTAGACCCAGCCGTCCACGCACGGCTCCGTGGCGGCCTCGCTCCAGTTGGCGGCCGTGGCGTTGGGGTCCAGGAGCTGCCACTGTGGTTGGCGGAAGCGGCGGCACTGGTGGGGCTCGCGGTTGGGGCCCGGTGGGATGGAGACGGTCAGGAGGTCCTTGGGGTCCAGGGCCCCGGGGACACCGGCCTGGGCAGTGCCGTTGTCCAGGAGGGGTACCCAGCAGCGGTGGCTGGGCACGGCGGCCGAGAAGTTCTCGACGAGCATGAGGAGGGGCACCAAGGCTGAGGGCAAGAAGACAGTGAAGACTTGTAGGGCCTGGAAAAGGCCCACTCCCCCAGCTTGGTCCAGGAGCTCGGCGAATGCCATGGACAGAGCTGCAGGGGGCCACGGCGGGGGGCCGAAGCGGTCAGGGAGCCAGGGGGCGACCCGCTGCCGTCCAGAGCCGCTGGGTCACCGGGCCTTCTGCTCTAGCTGGCCTGCAGCGGGAGAGGGACATCAGGCCAGCAACCGGTCAAGTCAGTCAGTCCTGAGATGCCTCAGATGCTTTGAAGAAACTCCTCCTTACCCTGGTTCCAGGAATGACTGCATGGGCGCTCTGGAGACGGAGCACCAGGGACAGAGCTCACGGTGCCCAGGCCACCTGGGGCATCCAAGTCGCCTGGTTCTCCAGCACCAAGAGTAAAAGATGAAGCCAGTGTTAAAAAAAAAAAAAAAAAAGCCCTGTTGCGATGTTACTGAATTACAGTCGTGGAGGAAATACCAACCGGGCCATTGCCTTGGTTAAGGTTTAATCTCAGCGTGGGCCCCTGGGCCAGAAAGGCAGCTCTCTGCCGCTGGGGTCCTCACATTCCTCACTCCAGAACCTTCAGATCCCTCTACATGTGGCCCTTTATTTATTTATTTTTTAAATATTTTTATTTATTTCTAGGAGAGAGAGAGAGAGAGACAGCGTGAGCAGGGGAGGGTCAGAGAGAGAGAGGGAGACACAGACTCTGAAACAGGCTCCAGGCTCTGAGCTGGCAGTCAGCACAGAGCCCGACACGGGGCTCGAACCCACGAACCGCGAGATCATGACCTAAGCGAAAGTCAGACGCTTAACCGACTAAGCCACCCAGGCGCCCCTACATGTGGCCCTTTAAATCAGCAACCTGTTGGCCGAGGCTTCACCGGCACTGGGACACTTTCCGGCTGTTTTGCTAACGCGCAGAGGTGGGGATGGACAGGGCCCTCCCTGACTGGGCTCCGGGCACGGACAGACCTGGCAGCAGAGCCCAGGCCCCCCTTGTTTCCCTCCTTGCCATGTGCCTCCCGCCAGGCAGCGCGGGAGACCAGCTTGCAGACGTGCTATTCTGGGAAGCTTCTATTTCAAAGTTCCAGGTTACCTTTATTGGACCAGAAGCTTCCCCAGGTGGAGAGCATGGCCACGATCCCCTGACAGCCGTTCAAAGCCCCTCCTGGGCCTGGAGCTGAGCAGGCACGCAGACTGGGGAAGAGAGGGAAGTCATACCTCCCTGACCCACGGTCTAACTCTAGCTCCGCTGGGAGTGAGGAGGGGCGAAGTCACCCCCCTCCCTGGCACCCCTACCTAAGGCAGAGCCTCTTAGTAGCAGCTGCTCTTGGCACCGAGGACTTGCTGTGTGCTTGGCTATGTGCTGACCACGCAGTCCGTACCCCTCTCATTTGCCCCTGATAGCAGCCCAGGAGAGAGTTGGTGCTAATTCCTCCAAGACGAGGAAACCGGGGCTCAGAGAAGGCAGGCAGCTTGCCCCAGGTCACACAGCGGAGTGGGGATTAGAACCAGGCACCAAAGCCCGGGCGCTCTCTCCAGTGTCCCTGGCTAGCCACCATGTGGCCTCTAGCCAGTCATGCATCAACTCCCAGTTTAGGGCTGGAATTTGGGATTGGGGTTAGAATAGGGCTGGCCAGGGAGCCAGAAGTCACCTCCTGGGCTGTGAGAGGAGCAGTTCCGAGAGAAGTCCAAGGGGGCGCTAGAAGTGTGGGTGTGGCCGGGACAGGTGTCTGGGCCCTGAACTCCCCAGAACATCGTCTGCTGAGGGCTTGGAGATCCCGGCCACTGTGGCACCAGCCAGAAGGCCAAGGAACGGGGCTTCCGGACCCGGATTTCCAAGCCAGGGCTGCTTCCGTACCCTGCCTCTCTGGGCAGGAACCCATTATGAAATTTTTTTAAATGTTTATTTATTTTTGAAATAGAGAGAGACAGAGCACAAGCTGGGGAGGGGCAGAGAGAGAGGGAGACACAGAATCTGAAACAGGCTCCAGGCTCTAAGCTGTCGGCACAGAGCCCAACACGGGACTTGAACTCATGGACCGCGAGATCATGACCTGAGCCACCGAGGCGCCCCCACTTATGAATTTTAAAATAGCAAATAGGGAGCACTGGAGAGAGAACTAACCCGCTAGAGCACAGAGGCCTCAAGCGAGGGGCTGCCTGGGCCCAGCCCTGATGCAGAACAGCCAAATCTCACACGGAAGGAACCGGCTTTTATGTGCATGTTTGTGCAAACAGCAACCTCCCAGGGAAAGGCCTGCCCCCCCCCCCGCCTCCCCTCCCCCCCCACAGTGACTTTGACACCTCCCATCTCCGATCCCTGATATCTGGCCCTTGAAAGGCTGTTGGTGTTTCAAAGCTGAGTGTGGATCAGAAACCACAGGCATACTGGCTAAAATGCAGGTTCCCAGGTCCTGCAGCAGAGGGGAGGCCCTGGAATGTGCATTTAAAAATAAGCTCCCCCTATGGGGCACCTGCGTGGCTCAGTCGGTTAAGGTTAAGCAGTTAACTGGCTGGTCAAGGTCGGTGGGTTGGGTTCAAGCCCTGCGTTGGGCTCTGTGCTGACAGCATGGAGCTTGGAGCCTGCTTCGGATTCTGTGTCTCCCTCTCTCTCTGCCCCTCCCCCGTTCACACACACTCTCTCTCTCAAAAATAATAAACATTAAAAATAATAATAAATAAATAAAAATAAGCTCTCCAGGTGATTCAGTTGCACTGGGACCCACCTTCCTTGGAGAATGGCGGGGCTAGAGGTTGGTCGCTACCGCTACTGAAACCCAAGGCATCTGTGCGAAAATTCTTGTCTCTTTCTCTTTCCCTTTTCCATATGCTTAAAAAATGTTCTCTTCTCCCCTGCCCTTTGCCTGTCACGGACGCCCCTAGGCTTTGCTGATAGCAGAAGGTCAAACCTCCCAGATTCGCCAGAAGGCTCCCGGAATCTCCAACTGGCTGTCTGCATCCAGGCCAAGGAATTTTTAAATTTGTATTTTCTGTTTTTCTGGGGTTGCTGGGGGGCAGGGCTTGGTGCAGCTGTGCCGCCACCTGCTGGTCATACCCGGGACTGCAGTATCCCCAGCTCCTTACCCATCTTTGCCTCGATGCCCATGGAGGAAGGATTCCAAGGTGGAGGGGGCCAAGGGGCTCAGGGGAGGGATGCAGGCAGCTTCAGATTACAGCGGCCAAACCTCCAGAGTGTCTCATTAAGTTAATTAGTGTAAAATGGACCCCTGGTTCTTATAGAACTGGAATTGCCATTGGGTTGATTTTTCTTAAAATTTTTTTTAAACATTTTTATTATTGAGAGACAGAGAAAGACAGAGCATGAGTATGGGAGGGGTAGAGAGAGAGGACTGAGCGACTGAGCCCCTCAGGCGCCCCCTAAACAGTTGTCTTTAACTGAGAAGTTATATGCGTATGTGGAAAACAACCCAATGATCCAGGACTGTAAAATGACAATTAAAAGTCCTCCCCCCCAGCCCAGCACCCTCAGCTGCCCAGAGACAACTGCCACCAATAATGTATATTCTTCCAGAAAAATCTTAGAGCATCTTCAACATATGCATTAAGATTTAAAAATGGTGAATAGGCAGTGAATTCACATAGTTCAAAAACAGATTGTAAAACAAGATACACGATGGAAAAGCCCTCTCCTCCCACATACTTTCAGCAGGGTCTCACTTGCTACCCCGCCCTCAAGTAACCTTTCAGATTTTCTTTCTTTTTAAAAAAATTTTGGAGGGGTCCTTGGGGGGCTGAGTTGATCAAGCCTCCGACTTCAGCTCAGGTCATAATCTCACAGTTTGCGGTTTGAGCCCCGCGTCATGTTCTGTGCTGACAGCTCGGAGCCTAGAGCCTGCTTCCGAATCTGTGTCTCCTGCTCTCTCTGCCCCTCCCCCACTCATTCTCCCTCCCTCTCTCTCTCTCTCTCTCTCTCAAAAATAAATGAATAAATTTTAAGAAGAAAATCATTCCAAGGG